ACCAACACTTGTTCATCCTTCTGGCAGATGATCCATCACCCTCCCTCATTGTCACTGGGTAAGCTCCTAAACTCATTTGAGTCGTCATAATCTGTTCCAACTTCGTCTTGAGGAACTGCCTCACCTTCTTGCTCACCCCTTCCACTATCTATGTCAATAACAAAACCTTCACTCAACTACATGCAAGTAATACAATTCAGCCATCCTACTTTCACCAAGCTACTTCATTCATGAAATCTGAATCTTTGATCAACCAGAATGATGCTCCACTCAATCTCTTCTTCTCCATTTTGTATAGATATCTGATTCTACCAAAATATCTCAACATCTTCATGACATTGTCAAGAAGAAATCAATTGAAAAAATCAAAGTCGATATAGTCTAGATAACTTACTTTACCATACTCGTACACAAAACTTCTCATCATTCCAAATAATATTCCACCTTATGTAGGCATATATTAAAATACTTAGTATTTTCCCCTGAAAAACTGAAAACAAAAAAAATCAAATCATAACCCTTTTTAGTTCGAGCAATGCACATGTACATAACAAGCTCTTACATAGTATATTAACTCCCAAATTATCAAATCACTCAACATTTTCACATTTTTCAGTACATGAAGACAATCTATATGCACGGCTTGCAATAGCAAAATTTCATATCGCAAATGGGAATTCCAAGGAGCACATTTACAATATATAGATTGGGGAAGAGAGTCTCGAATATGGGTTGCAAAATCTAATGGAATATCATCATCTTCTTCATATCTGTTATCCTCATCTTTGTGGGTTTTTGCATGTTCCATAATGAATGATGAAATGACGAGTAATTGACTTTTTTTTTTAAATGGAAAGTGTATAATGCCAACATTTGTCTATTTGGTGAAAATTATTAATTTTATTCATTTTTGGGGTCAACTAACAATTTTGGTAGTCAAATAGACGGAAACCGTCAATTTGAATTGGAGTTTTGATTTTTTTAAAGGTTTGATACCTCGAGTAGCACAAATGAAAGGTTTGGGCAAAATTTACAACTAAATGAAATGTTTCGTGCCTTGGCTGCAATTTTCCAAAATATAAAAATAAACATTTTATTCGTAGTATTAATTACATTTTTTATTAATAAATTTTATTATCTATTTTAGGGATAATTGCAGCTGAGGTCCCAAACCTTTCAAACAATGCAGATTTTTCCCTAACTTTTCAATCGTTAGAACCGTCACCCTAAACCTTTCAAATCGTTACAGTCGTCACCCCAATGGACTTTTTCCATCCAATTTGTCGTTGGTTGACCTAAAAAATTAATTTTGACCACATTTTAATCAATTTTAAAAGGGCAAAACAGTAATTAAATATTTTTTTGATAAAATAATTAAAAACTTAAATAAAAAACCAATAAAAGAAAAAATATAAAATAAAAAAGGAAAATTTTTTGTGGGATTTCTTCTCTTTCTATTGCAACAGATTCCCAATCACTAGGAACCCTGACACCTTTGCAATCAACTTTTGAGCAATTTGGCATAGCAAAAAAATTCATATACCTCGATTCCCATAGTACACCTCAATTCACATTAATGCTTTTCCATCAATCTTTATTTCTCCAATATTTCAAACCCCAAATTTCTATTTTTCAGATTTGCTTCGTTTGTGCTCAATTTATTTTAAGAAAAACTCAGATTCAAGTAGGAAAAATCTGAACGCAGTAACACATTTCAACAAATCTTGTGTTGAGAAGTATAAAATCCCTTCTTCTAGAGTTTTTTTTAGGGGAGGTTTGGGTGGGGGAAAATGAAAGTGTCCTTGTCTCTGAATAATTATGAAAAAAAAAATTATAGGATCCTTTGAGAAGACCAGCAGTGGCACCTATTTCGTTGACGGGGATACATAGTAGAGTCTTGCCTAGGCTAATTGTATGGCTGATTGTGTTTGTCTCCGCTACCTATTTAGTGTACTAACCGAAGCTATTTTACTCTTCTCACGGTTGTAACAAAGATATTTTCACTCTCCGACGCAATAGCATAAAATTAGTTTCAATCCAAAATACCACAATCTATCCTCTGCAAATGGGCATGAAATCAGAAGATCACGTTGAGAAAAAGGGATTGCAACACATAGTTTTCGGCATTGAGGTGTTGGCCAAGCAGTGGAAAAAGTGGAAAGATATTTTTTTCTCTGTTTGGTTTTTTATTTAAGACCACGTTTGATAGCACACAATTTTTTTCATTTTTCAATTTTTGTAGTGTTTGATAGGCAAAATTTTCCCTGGAAAATATTTTTCAACTTTCGAAATTTTCCATATTTTTGAGGAAAATAAATTTTTGATGTTTTGGTGGGTAAATATTTTCCATTTTCTTTTCCAATTGGAAAAAATTCTAGACACAATGGTGGAAAAAAATTTCACTTTTATTGAAAATTTTCATGTAAAACAAAGTCAAACGAATGATATTCGGTATGGTTATTTTTTTTTCAATTTTTTTTTTGGCAATTGGAACACATTCTAGACCCAATGGTAGAAAATATTATCACTTTAATTGACAGTTTCCATAAAAAACGAAATCAAACGGATACCAAACTTTCAATATTTTCCATGGAAAATTGTACCAATCAAACACAATTAATTACAATTTTCAATAAAATAATTTTTAGGCAAATCAATTCCCTATAAAATATTTTCTTTCCACCAATTTTCCACCATTGCAATCAAATGGACCCTAAATTTTTAATTATTTTATGGAAAAAATATTAATTGATGTTTTACCCTTTCAAAATTTATTAAAATGTTGTCAAAATGAATTTATTTGGTCAACTAACGACAGATTAGATGGAAACCGTTCATTGGGGTCTCAACTATTACGATTTGAAAGGTTTGTGGTGACGACTGTAACGATTAAAATGTTAGGGAAAATCCGTCATTGTTTGAAAAGTTTGGGGCCTCAGCTGCAATTATCCCCTCGATTTTATTGTAAACTCCAAAATTCCAAATTTCTCTAAAGGAACAATACATAACTAAGAGATTTGCTTTTACCAATTTGAAATTTAAGAACTTAAGTTTAAAATTTCAAATTTCAGATTTTTTAAATTAATTAATTAAACATATATTTTACTAATTAAATATATTAAGGTCACAATTCCATATAATTTGGTCACAATTCTATATAATTGGTCACATATTATTAATTTGCTACAAATCACAAATTTTACACGTCACAAATTATTTTGTGGTCACGATTCAAAAATTTTATAGGTAACAATTTGTTTATTGGTCACAAATAAAAAATTGAAACGTCACAAATTATTTTACAATCACAATTCAAAA